GGGACAGGAACTACCAGCAGGGGACAGGGACCACTGCGGGGGCACTGGGACCACCCCCAAGGAAGACAGGGACCATTTGGGGGGGGTCAGGCACTATCAAGGCAGGGACAGGAACTACCAGCAGGGGACAGGGACCCCCAGGGAGGGGGTCAGGGACTCTCTGGGAGGGGGACAGGGGCACCTGGGGGGGTGGTCTCACCTTGTCGATCTCCTTCTGGCTGGTGCCCTCCTTGCGCAGCCGCTCGTACTCCTGGCACTTGCTGTGGTAGCTCTCCTTGGACTTGGGCAGCAGCTGGGCCACCCCGTGCAGGAGCTGCACGGCCTCCAGCGTCCCCGACACCTCCTCCTTGGACTGGGGGGGCACGGCGGGGTGGGCAGGGGGCTCTGGGGCACCAGGGAGGGGGGCAGGGGGAGGGGGAAACAGAGCAGTACCTTTTTGTGCACCCGGCCTTGCTCCTCCCCGTAGCGGGAGATCTCCTTGATGAGGTCGTGCAGCTTCTTCATCAGCTCCAGGTGGCACAGGGCCAGCTTGTCCGAGGAGATGCGGAAAACCTCCCACAGCGGCGCGAAAGTCCTGGGGGGGGGGGCGTGGGAAGGATCAGCGGGGTCCCCCCCATCACCCCGAGGTGCTGCAGACCCCCCTCGTACCCCAGCTGGGTCCCGTTGGTGGCCATCTTCGACAGCTTCACCATGGCCTTGGCGTAGTTCTCCTCGATGGCGGCCCTGGGGACGGCGGGGAGGGGGCTCTGGGGGTGGAGCCGGCGATCCCGGGGACCCCCCTGCCCGCCCCCAGGGTGACCCCCCGCCCCGGTACCTCTCCCGGACGAAGTCAGCCAGTTCCTTGGTGGAGATCTGCCCGTGCTTCATGTTGTGGTAGAGCACGTCGAAGCCGTGGTTCTTCTCGCCCTGCCAGGGGACACCCCCCCCTCTGTCAGCTCCCAAACCCCACCCAGCACCCCGCGGGGTGGGACCCCCACCCACATTCCCCCTCTCCCAGGACGGTGCCACCACCGGGAAGCACCATTTGGGGTGGCCTGAAGCCCCCCCCGGGGTGCACAGGGGGGTGCTGAGCCCCCCACCCTTCCCTGGATGCTCCCCGGGGAGCAGAGGCAGGAAGGGCTGGGCTGAACCCCGGCGTTCCCGGGGGTTATTTTGGGTGCCCCCCACCCTGAGGGGGTGGTTCCCCCCCTGTCCCAGCCGGGCTGGGGGTGCAGGTGGCACCACGGGGGGAAACTGAGGCAGGAGGAAGAGGAAGGTGCCGGCAGCTGCCAGAGCCCGGCAGAGACCAACCAGGAAGCACCGGCCACGCCACTTCCCCCTGCCCAGGGCACCCGGGAGGGCCGGGGATCCCCAGGGAGGGGGGGGCAGGGATGGCACCGCAGCCGCGAGACCCCCAGAGAGACCCCCAGGCACCCCCCCCACCGCCCCCCCCAGCAGTTAATTTGCAGCGTTAACGAAGGTGTCAGGCCCTGAAAACCAACCTCTCCCCAGGGTGGGGGGGCCCCCAGCAGTGGGCCCAGAGGGTGGGGGGCACCCGAGGCGGGGAGGCACCCAAGGGTGGGGGGTCCGGGCTTACCCAGAAGTGCTCGGTGAAGTAGGACATCTTGGAGGGGGGGGGCGCGGGGACCCCACAGCTCAGCTCCCAGCGCCCTGGGGGGACACCAGGACCTCAGCGGCGGGGTCTGGGGGTGCTGAGCGGATCCCCCCCCCCTCCCCGCACCACGCCTGCACGCACCGCTATTTATCAGTTTTCCCGGGAAAACGCAGCCTCGTG